GGGGCTGCAGCCCCCTAAAAGCCACCCATTCTTGCTGTGCTTGTGAGAAGCATCACTCCTTCTCTCCAGCCCATCGCAGGGCTCCTGCACCCTGAAGAATCCCAAGGAAGTCATTTGCTTAGTCTTGGGAACAAGGCATGCTTTTAACAGCCCAAACCCGCAAGCTTTAGGATCGCACCCCTCCATGACCTGCTGGGACTGCACCAAGAGAGAGTTTGGGCCCCCCCAGCACTGCATCTCACATGCTGGAGGTTGGGGGTCCCTGAGGATGTTCCCAGACAACCCCTCCCTCAGTTAACCCCGCACTGTCCCTCACCGCTGAGCAGGCACGCAGGGAGCTCACAGCCACTGCCTCTCCTGCGACACCCTGTGATGACCTCCCTCTGCCTCCCATCAGAGGGACCTTTCTGCCCCAGATGGCATCACCCCCAAATCCTGCCTCCGGCATGTTCCACAGACAGAGCCGGAGAGCCGGGAGGGTGTGTGGGCACGGCTCTGGGACAGCCGGAATGGGGCAGCACAGTTTCCTGTGGGGGCTGGTACGGCCCCGGGAGCACGGCACGGAAAGCCCTGCACTTTCTGGTAGTACACGAAACTACGACCCAGATGGTAGGTAACAGCCCACATCCACGTTCCTGCTATGGAGGGGTCCTGTTTTGGGGGGAGGGGGCTTAAACCCTGCTGCTGGGTCAGGTCCCACCCCCTCCCTTGTGCTCCCTCGGTACTTACAGGGGTCTGTGTATCAACTGGGTTGATCAGGGGTTTTTTAGGACTGTCACCCTCCGCTCGCACGCTGCAGGGCTGGACAGCAAACAAAGAGCACTGGACTCCAGCTGATGGCTCCCAAAACCCTCAGCTCTCCCACTGGGCCTCCTCAAAAAGCAGCCTAACGGGTCGTTTGGTTGGTCTAGCCAAAGTAGCTTCTGGGAGAGGGTTCTGCAGCTGGGGCTTGAGCTCAGGCAGTTCCAGTTAGAGACAAACATAATGAGCAATGCCAGGGGTGGCTGGGAGAAAGCTGTTAGGCAATGCCAAGATTTCCATCTCTCATCATCCTCTAATCAAGACTCGATACCTTTCTGGGAGGAACAGGGTCATCACCCAATTAATTGAGCTGAACACGGAGGTAATGGAGGGATCCTCTGGCCAGTACTAGACGAAAGAAGAAACAAATTTCTCATCAGGTCTTTGAAGCATATGCAGCCACATCAGTCATCTCCAGTGAGAAGAAGTTTGATTGATTTTGGCCTCTCTTCTCACTCCCAGAATGGGGACTGAAGACAGTCTTGCACTGGTAAAGGTAGATTAAATACAAAGGTGTTTCTGTCTAATTTCTGTGATTTAGTGATGCTTCTCCAGCCCCCAGTGCTGCCCACTGGAAAGTGCTTCACAAACACACAGGGGTGAATTAATTCTCTGACTCCACCTGAAACCCGAAGGAGCAAAGCTGCCCCATGGGCTGGAGGGGCTGCTGGCACAGTCACTGTCTCTGTTTTTGCCAAACTAGGCTGTACTTCAAGTCCGAACTGGCAGCAAGGGCAGCTGTTGGACATCTCTGTCCTGGGTGCAGAGCTCTGGCACAGCAGCCCCTCTGGTCTCACCTCCGGAAGTCTCCAGG